TACCAGTCCCAGGAGAAATAGTGTTGGGAAGGCCAACCTAGGTGATGTTTTCATGAGTCCTGATCTTTGTGTATCTTCAGAGACTGGTCTCCTACAAGGGGCAGTGCTGGAGCTGAGCAGGAGGTGCCTGGGCCAAACACAATCTGAGTCTCTTGACACTTCTCTCCTAGGGCATCCTCCTCAAGCGCAGTGGCAAGTCTCTGAACAAAGAGTGGAAGAAGAAGTACGTGACACTGTGCGACAACGGGGTCCTCACCTACCACCCCAGCCTGCACGTGAGTACTGCTCTGGGCTGGGCAGAGGAGCGGGCTGGGACAAAGCAGGGTCCTTGGTGCCGTGGGTGCCGCTGCAGCTCTTGCAGGTGTCGCAGTCGCAGGGAGCTGCTCAGGAGGGTTTGGAGCAGATGACAGCCCCAGTCTCTGCCTGCAGCAAGGCCCTCTACAGGGCAATTCAGAGCTGTTTTTTACTCTGGGGAAAACCTCTTCCCTCTCACGAAGACTGTCTCTGCAGTGCCAGGCTGGGTGGGAAAGGCTGATACAGGAACCAGCTCTGCACAGAATCATGCTAAGTAGATGCATCTTCTTTTCTCCCTTTCCCTTGCTCAGTCCATTAGAGCAGGGGTTGATGCCTCCTTGCATCTGGGGTGAGGAGCAGGCAGAGAACTTGCAGCCACGGTTTATGGTGCTATTTGGGTGTGGAATAATTTTCCTGGCTGCTAGGTATTGGGTAATGGAGATGAGGTGCCTGTGCAGAGCCTGCCGAGCTGAGCTGTCACTCGATGCATCTCTGATCCTCCTCACTGCGTGGCTCGGGCGCACAGCTGCCTCCCCATCCATCTCTGTCGCCTCCCCACTGTGGGGCTAATGACTTCTTCCCATTCCCTCTTGAGCACAGTTTGCTGCTGAGACAGTGAGCCACGGACAGGCACACCTGTGACAGAGGCCACAGCACCCGCTGCAGAGCACGGGCTGCAGCAGGACGGGCACTGGGCAGACCCTGGGCAGGCACTGGGCAGCAGCTGGGGAGCATGGGGCTGTTCAGGGGGTGCTGGAGCTCTCTCTGGGCTGCAGAGTGAGGTGCTACAGCTCCTGTGCTTCCTGAATGCTCCCCCATCTCCTCAGGCAGGGCTGGGAGCCCTGGGCCCTGCAGAGTCTCCTCCTTTCTGACCCCATCTCTGTCTCATGGGCCCCCTGCTCTAGCACTGGAAATCCAGTCACTGCGCTTCCTTTCCTTGATTTGTGGCAGCCTTGGGGACAGGTTTTCTCTTGTAGTCCTTGATCCCTGTCCCATGCTGTGGCTCTGCAGTTCCCTAACTTTGTAACCCCATTTTTTGGTGGTTACAGACCCAAACTGGGAGGCAGTGGCTGCTGCTGGTTGCTCTGTGTGTGTGCTCACACGTGTGTGGGTTTATCACGTTTCCACCAGCACATCACGGGCCATTATTACAATCAGCTGTAGAGGCAGAGTAATTTCTGGGATGTTGTTTAACCGCTCTCAGATGCTGCTGCTACACACTAGGTTTCTCTCCTTTTTACACTGTTTCTTCCTCAGGGGGTGATCTAGATTGATGTCACTTGCTTTCCTTACTGCACTTCTTCAGCATTTCATTTCATTACGATGTAGCCCCAAGCAAAAATCTGGTTTGCTCCCACCTGGTTCTCCTGGTGATCCACAGCCCGTTGCTAAGAGGGGTGCAGGATGGGCCTCTCCTCCCCCAGGTCTCACGGAAACCTCTGAACCTTGCACCCAGGATGGGTGGGGTAGCACCCGATATGTTTACCTAGAGCAAGGACTAATTAATGACACATGGGCCACAGAACACAGAGCTGCTTGCTGCCCTGCTCTGACTCCTGCAGGGATGGGGCTCAGTGTGCTCCCCCCCAGCCTTGTCCCCTGAGAACTGGGAAAAGAGCCGTGACACCCACTGTGCCTTAGGTGTGTCCTGCCACGCTGACAAAGGCTTTGGGGAGCAGTGTGCTCTCAGGGTGAGCAAAGGCCCCTCTGCCCTGCCTTGCTTTCCCTCTGGACACCTGGTTTGTGACCTGCTTGGAGGGCACTGGAGGAGGTGGCCCCAAAGAGGATGCCTCTCCTCCCCATCCTCTGGAGTGAGCTGGGAGGTGCTGCATTGTGTTCATCACCAGGTTTGTATCCTGTGGCACGAAGCAAGTTTCCTTGTCCCTTCACAGGGTGACACAAGCAGAGCACGTTGGGGTTGGGCAGCCTGGGTCACTCTGGGGCTGTCACTGTGCTCCTGAGGAAGGGCACCTGCTTCTTCCTCACTTCCATTTGCGGTGGCAGCTTCTGGGCCAGCAGGCAGGGTCCTCAGTCAAGGAGACACTTGGTATCCTGAAGTTCCTTCCTTGGGATGTGAAGTCCCGGCTTGTCCCCTGCCTTGCTCAGGGTGGGACACAGGACTTGGGGTGTAGTAGAGGGGTCCCTGCAGGCACAGCTGAGACCTGGGGGAGGAGAGTCTTTGTCAGCCCCTGTCAGTGACTTCAAGCCCTGGAGCATCTTTGTGCTGCATTTGTGTTCCCAATGGCCTTTCCTTGCATGATCCAGGGCAATTCCTGCCTGGGCTTCTCTTCTGCATCTCTGTCATGGCACCTCCCTGTCCCTCTTGGAACAGATGTAGATGCCCCAGGGATCAGCAGCTCTACCTTTGTTCTCTTTCCTCCAGATCTGCCCCAGATGTGTTTGCCCACTCAGAGGAAGGTTACTGGTGGCTCTGGCTAGGTCATACTTATGATTTCATCCAGCAAAAGCTTCTTGGTGGGGCTGTTCATCTGCTTCTGGGTGTTCATCATTCAACCAGTTTCTTGGCACCTCCAGCCCCACTTTGAAGTTTCCTTGCTGGGAGTCAGGCTTAGCTGGTGGGTTTGCAGTCACAGGTGGACAGAGGGTGTTCAGGTGAGCTGAGTGCAGCCCTGACATCCTGTGTTCTCTGACTCCTCTATGGAATTGTGCCTGCCTGGGCCTGTGCTGGGGACCTGTGGAGCAATGCTTGGGTCCCATTTCAAAGTGCCACCTCCACCTCCTGGCTGGAACAGTCAGCACATTCAGAGACTTTGAAGCAGGAGGCTGGGGCTGGAGCAGGGAGCCTGATCCCTGGATCTAGCACAGCTTTCCTCGTGGCAGCTGTATTTTTCTTACCTCTCTGTGAGTGTGTTCAGTGACAGGAAAAGAACAAGTTCTGAGAAGAGACCGGTGCAGTTTCCTCTCACTTCCCCGAAGCCTTGGAGAGTGGATGCTGCTGGTGGTGAGGAAGGTGTGTGGCTCAGCCCAGCTCCACTGGCCAGGCTGTGCTGTAAGAGCTGGAGAGAAAGCAGCTCCCATTTTGCAGCCAGTGGAGCCATTCACACAATCACCTTCTGTTAATTCTATCTGCAACATCAATTAAATTGTTTGTAGAAACTAATTGAATGTGGCTTAATCACACATCTTAATAGCTTTCCACGCTTTGAACTCGTTGTTAATTCCAGTAATAAAATGAAATGAGAGAACTGGCTGGGTAATTAGCGAGGAGGCTTGGGAAGAAATTGCAGTTTTATAGCATGCAATAAAAGCCGTGCGCTGGTGACCGCTCTCCCCGGCAGGCAGCCGGCTAGGGCAGCCGTTGTGCTGAGTTAGGGAAAATCCTCCAGCCCCTCCGAGACTCCCTGCCCAGGGGTGCCACCAGGCTCCCACCCAAGCAGGAGCAGCTTGGAGCCGCGTTGGGTTGGGTTGGTTAACTAGGAATTGCCTGGGGCACCAGAGGGTGTGTGTGTGTCTGAGGCCAGGTCCCCAGAGGCTGGCAGTGCAGGCAGGTGTGCTGCCACCCATCCCCGGGTCTGCTCTGGGGGCTGGATGCCTGAACAGGGGTCTGTGGAAAGAAAACAGTCCAAAGCAAGGTGTGGAGGTGCTGCAGAGAGGTTGTCACCCTTACAGGTCGTCACCCAAGGCCTCAGATCATTGCCCACGCAGCCCCCGTTCACCTGCCTCTTGGGGCCAAGGACTGGGGAATGCTTGCTCTCTAACTGGTCTTAGTCATGTCTTTACCTTCTTGGGTTTGGAACCAGACAGGAACCAACTCGGAGTTAATCCTTTTGGTGACCTCCTTGTGAACTGGAGCAAGCCCACAGCTCTCTGCAGCAGCCACAGTCTCTCCCTGGACAGTGTCTGCTGCTCCTCTCCCATCCCCAGCGCCAGGGATGCACCCACGTTCCGAGTCCCTGGAGCCTCCAGCTCAGTTTTCAGTCCCTGCTGCCCGAGGTCTGCAGGGCAGGGCAGTCCCCTCTGTGCAGCTCTCTGGAGATCACATTGGTTGGGTCTTCTTGGGACAGGAGTCACATCAGAGAGGGTCAGGGGAGAGCTGCAGTGCCCTGTGGAGCAGGGAGGGGTGGGACACAGCTCTCAGGAGACACTGGGGGTCTGCAGCCTTATTTTGAGGAGACAGAATATTAAGTGTGCATGTGGAGTTTTTGGTCATGCAATCAATACCCTACCAGAAGAAATTACGGAAGCACCAAGTTTTGGATACTGTGAAGCTGTGCAGGTGAATGAACAGGGAGTTGTCCTGAGTTGGGGTGTTTGGGCTTGAATTATGCTCACTGTGACCTGAGAGGGAATTTCCAGGGATCCCACTGGTGACACTGTACTACTCTGTATTATTTTATTAGCCGTTGCAGCTGAGTGCTTTGATTAAAAAGACAAGGCATGACAGGGAAGAACTGCTTGCCACCTGCGTGCTCTTTTGCTTCATCTAATCTCTGATCCCCAGCCAGGCTTCCACAAATGGGCTTGTCACGGCACCCAACTGCCCGTGGCAGCGTCCCCACGTTATTCATTTCAGAGCTGACTCGTTCTGGGCACTGAAAGCAAGAGCTGGCACTTCCCTGATGGCAGTTCTCAGGCACCAGCTAGTCCTGGGAAGAAGGCAGGCTGGAGTCAAGGCTTTGCATCCGTGTTGTCAGAAAACAGCTGGCTGTGGACCAAGGGAGAGCCACAGGGTCCTTTACCTCCATCCTGCCTGACTTGGGACTTGGGCAAGGGAGAGCAGCATGTCCTGAACTCCCAGACCAGCTCCCAGTGCCAACTGGGCAGTCACCGCAGGGGGGGAATGGATCCGGGTGTTAGTTCTGCTGGTGTGGATGAGAGGGGAGTTGAGGGGGCACCCAGGGCCGGGCTGATCCTGAACCTTCTGCCTCTCTGCTCTAGGATTACATGCAGAACGTCCACGGGAAGGAGATCGACCTGCTGAGAACCACGGTGAAGGTGCCGGGCAAGCGGCTCCCCAGGGCCACCGCGGCCGCGCCCGGCGCCAGCCCCAAGGCCAACGGGCTGCCCAAGGAGCGGAGCAGCACCCAGCTCAGCGGGGGCACAGGTGAGCAGGGGACCCTGGGGGAACCCTGGGGGGGAGCGGGGCCCTCCTGCCCCAGCCCAGCACTCAGGCCACGTTCTGCTGAGCTTCCTCCCGTGTCTTGCTTTCCCTGCTCTCGGGGATTGTCTTTGGAGGTGCTGGTTCCTCTGTGGGTTGCAGGAGAGCAGCTGTTGGTGGCATTTGTGCTGGTCAGTCTGCAGGGCAGCAGAGCAGAGGGACTTTAAACAAAGGCACAAACTCCCTGAGAGGAAGCAGTTGAGTCTAATGAGCTGCTGTGTATGGGGGAAGCTGTTGTTCCCTAAACCAAAGGAAATCTCAGCCAGGGATGTCTCTTGAGGCCTGGCAAGTTCTATTCTCTTTATTTCCTTTTTTTTGTGGCCCCCTTTTTCTTCCTCACCTTCCCCTGGAGAAACAGTATTGAGAGGGGCTTGTTTTGTAATTATTATTCTGTGTGCACATTCAAGAGGCACAGCTGCCACAGAGAGTAGTGGGAGGAGGAGGTTGGGAGGCTCTTTGGTTTCTCATGGAGTTCCTCCTTACTACCTCTCCTGCCGCAGGAGGTATCTCACCTTGCCCAGGGGGCTGCTGAACTTGGAATTTTCCTGCCCAAGTGTCCTAGGGCATTGGCATGCCTTGGCTTTGTCCTCAGGGTGGGTATCCTTGGCCAGGATGGACAGTTCCCACACACGTTCTTCCCCACCAGCTGTTGGCAGCAGTCTGGAACAGCAGGGGTTGGGGATCACAGGGGAATGCTGATCCTGCTGCTGGTAACGGCAATCCTTCCTGGCCTGGTGCCACCGAGAGGGAGCTCAGTGAGCACAGCCTGGTTTCAGTTCCATCCTGCCCCGTGCCCTGCTTGTGTCCTGTGGTCAGGGTGCTGGGGCTGTGCTTGACAGCATGCTGGAGCTGGGGACGTTGGGATGCTGCTGGAGGGAGTGCCAGGGGCTGGCTGGGGTCCTCAGCATCACACACACAGGGAACGGGATGTGCTGCCATCGCTGGGTTCGCTTGGTGCCAGGTGTGAAATAATAAGTCCTTCTGAACCCAAACTGCTGTTTCTGCAGAGGCAGAACCAGTCTGCAGACCAGATACGTGAGGACAGTTACTGTCCTGGTTGACCAAGGAGGTGCAGCTCCCCTGTGTCCTGCCGTGCTCTCTGCTGGGCTCTGCCATGCAGCACCACACACCTCAGCCAGCCCCAGGTGCCCACAGCTCCTGCCCCTCAGTGTAGGCACTTCCCCAGGGCTCCTGCTCACAGGAGGCTGTTTGAGCTGTAGGAAGAAGTCAAAGACAAACCACAGGAAAGCTTAAGGTGGTGTCAAATCAAATGCCCACCTAACCCTGTGTCTTGCTTTCAGCCCTCTAGGGCCCACTGGGCTCGCGGAACAGAGAGGGGGACATGGTGACCGGTGGCTGCTGCGGGGGCAGCACCGTGCAGAGCTGCTGGGGACACAGTGCATGGGGCTGACAGAGGGCAAGATAAATGTGAGAGGGGATGTGGTTTCCTGGCAGGGAGGGTAATGAGACGTTGGAATAGTTTCTCTGGAGAGCTGGTGCCCTCACACCTGCTTGGAGCTGTTTCCATGAGATCAATTTAGTTTCCACGAGATCTGCTGCACTCCAGCCCACGTGTGCACAGGGTGTTGGATGGAGGGACACGGGGGGGCTGTTCTCATCTAGGAACCCATGGATTTGAGCCCCCTGTCCACAGGCTTCTCTCTGGGCCCCTGGGCAGAACAAAGCTCCTGTGCATCCTGGAGCACGTGGCTCAGCAGGCAGCTCAGCCCTGAGACAGCAGCTTCATCAGGTGGGGTGTGCCCGTCTGGGGGGTCTGCGTGGGCCAGAAAGGCTTTGTCTCCTGCTACACAAATGGTGGGATGTTTTCTGAGGAATTTTTTCATCTCACTGTGATGCCTCCAAGGCTGTTGGCAGCTGGCGATGCAGTCACCACGGTAAGTGCCCTGAGATGATAAAAACCCTCTGAGGTGACTTGCTTCTGTGGGATTTGGGGTCAGGAAGGAGCCTGCCCTGGGTCATGTCAGCAGGGACCTTGCAGCTGAACCCCTTTTGGGGCTGGGGGTGGGACTGGGGTCTGACACAGGCTTTGGGCAGCTGCAGAGACATCGCCTCAAAATTTGCAGTTCTCTGCCAGGGCACAAGGTAATAATCAGAGGACAGGAGCTTGGGAGAGCTGAATGATTTGCTGTTTTACACCAGGAGTGTCTGGTTTAAACCAAACTGCCTGTGTTGAGGGTTAAAAGCAGGCAGCTCTGGTACCTTTGTGACCTGAACTCTGCCAAGGTTAGTAAGTGTGCTGATTAATGTTATGGACAGTAATATATATGTCCCTACATGCACAGTCCTTACCTGGGGCAAGAAAAGAAGTAGTAGATAAAGGGGAGGAGGAGGAAAAAAAAGATAAACATCTCACACTGCCCTGCATATGGATAAATACACATACATGCTGGTGATTATTCAAAATAACCTCCCAAGTAGGTACAGGCAGAATAACTTGGAGCTAAATGAAGTGAGAACAAGGGAGGAGCTTGTGTTTGTGCAGGGTGTGGGTCTCTGAGCTCAGTGGGTGGTTGCACCCTGGCATTTAATTGAAGGCAGCTTTGCTGTAGTCAGAGTTGGTTTTATTTTAGGTTGCATGTGTTCTCATTGCGACCCTGTTTCCAGAGGCTCAGAAGGTTGTCAGGCTTGGAAGCTGCCTCCTGCCCACCTGGGGCTCTCTGCTGTGTGCAGACACAGTGCTGCTCGTGCCCCTGGAGGTTCTGCAACCTCCCTCCTCAGGGGGAACCACAACCCAGCCAGACACAGCCTGGCTGGCCCTGCTGGAGCAGGAGTGGGACATAACGACCTCCCCAGGTCCCTCCCAGCCTCAGACATGTGTCATTCTCCAGTTGTTTTGTCAGTATTAAAAATGTGTCTCCAAGAGCAGTAAATCCTCAGAGATTTGGTGCAATGATGGCCTAGAAGTTCTGTCCTCAATTAGAAACTTTTTTTTTCTTTATCCTCAGAAAATACACTGGGATTTGCTGGGAGTTTTGGAAGTTGGTTACTGAAAGCTTGGGAGCACCTCATCTCCTCCTGGGCTGTCAGGAGCCCCTGGCAGGCTGCTCTTTGCCTCTCTGAGATATTTTTTCTTCACTTTCTAGCTGTAATGTCCTCCTGTCTGTAGTATCCATACCAGATTGAATTCTTGTATGAAATTTTACTGCTAAAGAGGCTGTCCAAAGACAGAAGAGTAGCTGAGATTAAGCATAGGTCTGTACCAGGTTTGGAGCTAACTGAATGCAAATAATCAGCATTACGGTGAAGGTTGGAAGGGACCTTAAAGACCATCAGGTCCCAAACCCCCTGCATGGGCAGGGACACCTCCCACCAGCCCAGGCTGCTCCAAGCCCCATCCAACCTGCCCTTCAACACCTCTAGGGAGGGGGCAGCCACAGCCTCCCTGGGCAACCTGTTCCTTTTCCAGCTGAGCTCTAAATGAAGCCCTTGACACCAGGGAGTGCTGAGGCAGGGCCTGGCCCATGTGCTCCTTGTGGAGCCCCACGTTGGGGCCTTGTGGGCTTGAGAGGCACGTTCCTCATCCGTGTCTTGACACAGGGTTTGCTGGTTGTGCATCGTGGTCACTGTCTTCCTGGTTGTGTCCTGGAAAGCCAAGAGGATGCCTGGGAAGTGCCAGCCAAGGGGAGCTCATCCGGAACATTTTGCATATACCTTCCAGAAGCATTTCTTGTGTGCCCAGTTATTTCCAAGGCACTTTCCTTCTTTTCCCCTTGTTCTTTGGACACTTGTTGCATGGAACCACTTGACCCTCTGATACTATGGTTCAGTCATGCTGTCTGCTGAGCTGTTGGGTGTTCCTGGCACAGTTCTGGCTTACGGTGAGGACTCTGCTGGACAACCCCTGAGGAGCAGCACGGTCTGGCACACAGCTTGCGTGCAGCTCTGGGGGGAGAGAGTTTCTGTGTATAGACAAAAGCTTGGTTGTGCCAGGGGGTCTCGGGACTGAGGGAGGGTGTTGGCACAGGGCTGACACAGTGTCCCACTGTGACAATAACCCCTTCAGTGGGACAGGCGTGTGAGGGACAGCAGTGAAATAATTTGTCTCTTCGAGCCACCCCTCCTTTGTACAGGCTCCACCACAGGCTTCTGTGGGCCAAATGTCCTACATCCCAGTGGCCTTTTCCTGGGGGCCACACGGGGAAGAGGGGATGATGTGACACTGGATTCCTGAAAAGCTGCAGGCATGTGGGATTGGGGAACTCGCCTCGATGAGCGCTCCTGAACATCTCATCACTTAGATGGGAACATATTGTGACTGATGTGCATGAAGGCCAAGAATATGTTACAGGTATAAGCAGTGCGTGGATATAAAGAGAGTAAATGCTCTTTATGATTTGTGAAGTGTTGCTCTTCATAAAAAAAGAGCCCAAGAAGCACATGGAGTAGCAAAGGTAGATGTTCCTCAACAAGCCATCAGTGCCACATGAAATGGGAGCAAAGGCAGGCCTTGGCAGGAGATGCACCACAGGCAGCTTGAGGTGACAGGGGAGGGACACCAGGGCACAGGCATGGCTGGGTGTCAGCTTCAGCATGGCAGTGGTTAGTTGTGGGGTACAGGAGGTGGTCCTGTGGGTGCCGAACCCCAGCTTTTGGAGCTGGGTGCAGACGTGAAGTGGTCTTGCTGATGGATGCTAAGACAGCATGACATGTTTTTACTCTTTGTAATCATTTAGTTCTAAACTTGGAGTGAAAAGTCAAATGTTCTCAGATCATGTGGTGAATATTTGTTTTACAGTGAAGTCTTCCTTCTTGTTGAGGGAAGATGAGCTAAGTTGGAAAATTCAGGGTGCATTGTGTGGAGAAGCAGTTGCCCTGCTGCAGACCAGGCTGCATAGAATTAGGCACAAGTGCTTCCCTTTATTGTCAAAGACTCCTAAAGACTTTGAAGGATCCATCTGTGCTTTTCTGCCTGTCTAATTTTCCAC